AGGTTTTATGAAGCTATTTCTTTTATCCTAAAGCCAAACACCTCGCCTTGGTTGTGCAAGTCAATTTTTTGTTGTTGGTTTAGATATATACGTTGAAATAAAAAGGGATTGGGACTGCAGTAGACAGGGATGGGGGCAGATCTTTCTGACTAAAGAAGCAGCAGAGAAGGACTGAGTCATTTCTGGAAGTTCAATAATATTTTTCTTCAAAGATTCTTCTGTTCCAAAATTGGAAACCTTCATCAGGAGAGGTCTAGGAATACCTGCAGTTGGGACGGGGAGACAGTGTCGTGGCAATTGTTAGCTCAGCAGCCGTTCCTGAGAGCTCATTCTGTGCCTGTGATTCACTTCTTCCTAAACCAGAAGTGCTGTTGAAAGTCAGAGGTTCTCATCCCTGGCCACACTTCAAGTTCACCTGAAGAGCTTTAGAAAAGATGCAGTGCCTGCTTTCAGACCCACCAAGTCAGAATGGGGAAAGTGGAAGACCCCAGAACTAAGAATTTCTAAAGAGATCTCCCAGATGATTCTAATGGTCAACTAGGGGTGATGACAAGTAACCTAATGAAACCCTTTCATTTCGCAAATGAGGAAAAGGAAGTTTACAAAGGAAATGTGACTAGCCCGAGGTCACACAGCTGTTAAATGTTAGACAACCAGTTATTCAACTGAGTTTTCCCCAGCACTTAGGCAGAACCAGAACCCGCAAGTGTCTCCTGATTCCCTCCACCACCTCCCTCTGCTGCTACTGCCTTACTTTACTTCCATTTCTTACAACAAGTTAGCCAACAATCAGCAATGACTAATCATTGTAACAATTTTAACAACCACAACAATTAACATTTACCAAGTGCTTTCTTCACGTAGCCATCTGGCTAAGCGTCTTACAGGCATCTCATTGGGTCCTCATTCACACAAACCTATTATCTCCAGTTTACCTATAAACTCAGAAGACCAAATAACTTGCCCAACACTCCACAACTAGAATATCCCAGCCAGAATTTGCATCTTGTACTGTCCAAGTCCAGACCACATACCCTTAGACACTTCATCAGACAGCCTCCCAAGAGGCCATCCCAAACACTGCTTCCAAGAACAGAGAGGAGCCCTCTACAATATTTTTAGAGAAAGAAAAGCTTTTTTAAATAGCTGTTTTTCCAGAGCCACCTGACCCAGCCACCATGATGGAACCAAATAGTTACCAGAAAGCCCAGACAAGGCTAATGCAATCAAGCAAACAAATCTGAAAGTAATTCATAACATCATTTTGAACTGTTCAACTATAATTCCTTCATCCTAATACCTTAAAACCAGGGCATCGTCAATGATTTTCTGTCCAAAACAAAAAAACTTGGAGAAATCACCCCACACTGATCAATCCATGTTTTAAGAATAGCTATCGCTGGACAGTAGTATAGAGTTGTTTTGTGATCTTCTATTCTCCTTCTTACATTCTCAATTTTTCTGTGATAAGCATATATTACAATGGGGGTCATGACAAAACTTTGATTTTCTTGTTAAATTGCCTGGGCAACTATACCAAATGTTGGAGAAGCTTGGAGGTAAGGTCTTAGGAAATGGGAACATCTCAGGTCCAAGCACCCTTGGTGGTCACCTGTTATTTCTGTGCCTCTCCCAGGTCTCTTGGCCATGATGTATCCTTTCACATCCCTCATCCAGATAAAGACCATACTGTGTAACCAGGTAAGACAATGTTGGTGCCCCAGACCCATGTACTGAAGTCTAATGATGTGAAATGTGGAGTGGAGTGGGAGGCTAGGACTACAGACCTCTTCCAATACAGCTTTCTCCCCAAACACTTCCTTGCATCCTTAAGCAAAATTGGATACCAAATCACACAAGAATCACAGAACATACCCAGAATCACAGTACGAATAACGTCAGGGAGACAGGTAATGAAGAGGCTTAAACAAAGCAAAGAGAGAATGAAAGAATGGCACGACCTGCAAAGCTCCACTGGTCCTGCCTTCCTTCCTGCATGGGACACATGCTTTCAGGCCCAGAAGAATGAATATGGCCACTAAGTGAGGTTTCGTGGGGTTCCTCACACAGTCAAAGGGATCTAAGGGATGAAGTTTCCAATTTATTTCAGAGAGAATTGTACAGTTTACGTGATCTTCCAGGGAATCATGCCTCATGGATTCTGAATTTAGTTTTCAGAAATAATCCTTTAATCAAGGACATCCTGCTAAGGGTATTCTAGAGATGGATCTCTTTGTTTTAGCAAATATTTTCAGTCTATCTGCCTAGAGCTCCAATAGAAAAGGAGATTAGATCAGCTCACCTGCCTTCCTCTGGTTCCCTCGAGTTCTCTCTCTCTCCTCAAATTGAGTAAAGTGATCCCAGTCTAGCTGTTTTAGCTCCTTCCTTCTGGGACCTCACATGCACAGGTTGTATTGTAAGTGGAGATGTTGGTAATGACAAAGCAGTGCAACCCCCCGACACTCAGGAGCTGGCCTGGTCCCCACAGCTGGGCGTTAGTGTTCTCCACCTGAGCATAATCAACTCCGTGGGACACTAGCATCAGACAAGGCCACTGCGTACGTGGTCTGTCACCATGATAGGCCATGATGTGAACACAAGCAAAAACGGCATCCAAACCACAAAGTAACAGCCAAACATCCTTTTATCACAGCTGATAGGAGTGACTGCCGCTTCTTTACTTATTACAGCTTCAGCCTTCTCATTCTTGCAGCCCAGTAGAGGAAATTTATTTAAACATCCTACCGCAGACTTACCACCATCCCCCTACTTCCTAGCAGCATCCAGGAAAAGCCAGCCTCCTTGAACCTTTCCCCCACATCTCCTAAAACAAGCCCAAATCCTCAGTAAGTCCTTCTAATGTCATCAGATAAAACCTGTCCCACCCTCATGGGTCCCTATGCTGAGTGTCCTCCCTTCTTGCAGACAGCAATAAACCCATCTTTTTCAATTACAGTGTGTTCCTGGTGGTCTTAGGTTGCGGAGGCATTGACAATAACAAACAATCTTGAATGGGATATTTAAGAATCAAAAGGATTATGACAATCAGACTGCCATAATCTATGACAATCAGACTGCCATAATCAGTGTTTATGCTTGGCCAAAGCTCCGTGATCACCTTCTGAACAAGACAACTAACCCACTGATGAAAGTTATCCTGGAAGACTGGAGAAGTCTTCATCTGTTAGCAGTTTTCTGCTCACCTCCTCAAACGGTGACCTGAGGCTCAACACAGCATAGGCTGGGCATAAATGTCAAGATTCAAGGTCAATGTCATGTTCTCCCCTTTCCTACCATTCTGCTCCTGCCAACAGATCCCAGACCTCTCACTCACCCTATCCCCCTGTGCATCATTCCCTCGAGTTCACCTCCTACCACTTCCTTCTACCTTCTCTGACCTCCCCAAGGTGGATTGACTCCAGGTGCTCAGAGGGAAGAGGCAGCACTACCAGGAGAAAGGAAAAGTCATGATCACCAAAGAGCATTCACCACCTGCCACATTTAAATCTCACACTAGTCCATGGGCGGGGTATTAGCACCACCCCTGTTTTAGAAATAAAGAGACTAAAGCTAGAGAAGTTTATTACCTTGTCCAAGTGGCAGAGCCGCCTTACATGCCAAACTTTGTTCTTTTTGCAAAGCAATGCTGCCTCCCACAGGAAATTTACAATCATGGCCCTACCCGCAGAATAGGATTGGTTCTAACAGAAATGAGGATCTGAGACTCCAAGAGTTCTCGTTCCCCTAGATGGTACAAAAGGTTCAAGACCAGAATAGGGCAGAGTTATTCCCCAGTACTGGGGTAAAGTGAGTCAGGCAAGAGGGCACAGGGCAGGAAGCGGTGAAAACACAGATATATTCGGTGGTTACATCCAGTTTGTCTGTTGTCAGCCTACTTCAGGTGTCATAGTGCTATGCTGGCACCTCTCTCTAAACCTGTACCATTCTCACAAAGAGCAACTCTGTCTCAAAATCCCTGTCAATTAAAAAACATCACCTTCATAATGTGCCCCTCTCCAGGAAAACTCTCACACCCTAAATCCTCTTGCCCAAAAGCACTCAGATCTTGCAGGGTAATTACATTCATCCTTTGAATTTTACAGCTGTCAATTCCCACAGAGCAGGCTGTCTGGGCTCAAAGAAAACAAGCAGGTTAAAAACTATTAATTCTCAAATTTAAGGCTATCAGAACTTGTGTTTAAGGTAAAGACTGCCACCTTGTGGGAGAAGTGAGTGATTGGTGAGCGTCACTGAGACAATTAGGATTATCTAAGTAGAATCTTAAAATCAGAAAACTCTTCAGGCTGAAGGAAAGCTTAGAAATCATTAATTAGCTTAGAAGTCATCAACCCAGCAAATATTTATTGAGCACATACTAGGTGCTAGAACCACTTATGAGAACTTAGGGTATAACAGTGAACAAAACACAGGTCTCTGTCCTTATAGGAGTTTACATTTTACTGGAACAAAGACTGACAATAAACAACAAACATAATTAATATGTAAGTTATAAAGCATGTTAGAAATTTATAAGTTCTATTGGAAAAAGGTAAAATAGGCTAGAATGAATGTCAAGAGTGATGGGGGAGGAGGTGTCAGTGGTATTAAATAGGGTGGCATTAAATACGGTGGACAGTTGACATTAAATAGGGGGGACATATTTGAGTAAAGAATTGAAGGAAGTGAGGGACTTAGCTCCACAAACATCCCAGGAACACTCTAGGCAGAATAAGCATCACAAGCCATATAAGAAAAAAAATAACAAATTGGACCTTAACTAGATTTTTTTAAAAACTTTGCTTTTTAAGAGTTTTTAAAAGTTTCCATTAAAGAAAATGGAAAGGTAAGTCACAAAATGAAAGAAAATATTTTTAGTACACATCTGAGAAAGGACCTGTTTTTAGAATATATAAGCTTCCTACAAGTCAATAATAACATCAAAAAAGCTAATTTTTCTTATCACTTTTAAAGATACGTAATTGCACATATTTATGGGGTGAAGGGTGACATTTCAATACATGCATGCAATGCATAATGATCGAATTTGGGTAATTGGCATATCCATTATCTCAAAGGTTTATCATTTCTTCGTGCTGGTAATGTACAAAATTTTCTCCTCTCAGTACTCGAAAACATACAATACGCCCCGGTGGAGAAGCTGAGGTCAACATCAGATTTGAAATATTTAAAGTGGATACAAAACTATTTCAGCAATGCAGACAATTAAGTGTGTTGTTGTGGGCGATGGTGCTGTTGGTAAAACATGTCTCCTGATATCCTACACAACAAACAAATTTCCATCGGAATATGTACCAACTGTTTTTGACAACTATGCTGTCACAGTTATGACTGGTGGAGAACCATATACTCTTGGGCTTTTTGATACTGCAGGGCCAGAGGATGATGACAGATTATGACCGCTGAGTTATCCACAAACAGATGTTATTTCTAGTCTGTTTTCCAGTGGTCTCTCCATCTTCATTTGAAAATGTGAAAGAAAAGTGGGTGCCTGAGATAACTCACCACTGTCCAAAGACTCCTTTCTTGCTTGTTGGGACTCAAATTGATCTCAGAGATGACCCCTCAACTATTGAGAAACTTGCCAAGAACAAACAGAAGCCTATCACTCCAGAGACTGCTGAAAAGCTGGCCCGTGACCTGAAGGCTGTCAAGTATGTGGCGTGTTCTGCACTTACACAGAAAGGCCTCAAGAATGTATTTGACGAAGCAATATTGGCTGCCCTGGAGCCTCCAGAACCGAAGAGCCGCAGGTGTGTGCTGCTATGACCATCTCTCCAGAGCCCTTTCTGCACAGCTGGTGTCGGCATCATACTAAAAGCAATGTTTAAATCAAACTAAAGATTAAAAATTAAAATTCCTTTTTGCAATAAAGACAAATGCCCTGCACCTACCCACATGCAAGGCCCATAGGTATGGCCCCCCTTTCCCCTCCCAGTACTAGTTAACTTTGAGTAATTGTGTGTTGTCAGAAAAGTGATTAGTACTAGTTTCTGTTTTGTTTCAAAAAAAAAAAAGGTTTTTTTTTTTGTTTGTTTAAAAGCAAGGCATGCTTATGGATGACTGTATCAGACTAATTGGAATTGTTGAAGCTGCTCCCTGGTTCCACTCTGGAGACATCTGGCACATCTTAGTGTTTTGTTTTGTTTTTTTTCTCCTTTTTTCGGGGGGGGGAGTGTGTGTGGGGTTTGTTTTTTAGTCTTGTTTTTTTAATTCATTAACCAGTGGATAGCCCTTAAGGGGAGGAGGATGGATTGATTCCACATTCCACTTCCTAGATCTAGTTTAGAAAACATGTTCTCCATCTGGTGCTCTTAGGAAGGAGTATAGTAAATGCCTCATTTAATAACATACTCCTTTTTGAAAGTTGCCTTTTCTCTCCACCCTTGAGTAGATCCAGTATTTGATGAAGCTCATGAAAGTGGGTGGAGCCTGTCTTGCCCCTCCTCTTTTCTAGGACGCACTATATGTGACTGTGACTTTCAAGGACATTTGTTTGCCATTCACTGTTTTTTTGGGGAAGTTGATTTCTAACTTCTTTCACTGATAAATGAAGAAAAGTATTGCACCTTTGAAATGCACCAAATGAATTGAGTTGGTAATTAAAAAAATTTTTTCCCCTCTCAGTCATTATCTTATATGCTTAGCATAGATTTGCAGCTCAGTAGTATATGGTGTTCCTAGAATGCAGCTGAAGACCTGGTATGTAGAGGAAATACGAGGGGTGGTGCTAGAAGACAGATATCTGTGGAATGATTCACATCCTCTCAAGTTAGGAGGATGGAGGCCTGCTTCATTAAGAAGCTGGGGGTAGGGTAGGGGTGGGGAGAACACTTAACAACATGGGGACCAGTCAGGGGAATCCCCTTATTTCTGTTTTGCATATGAGGAACCCTAGAGCAGCCAGGTGAGGCTCTCTAGTTTAATAAAAATCATGGAAAGGGTCTTAATGAAGACTCTTAATAAGTGTTAATAGGGATTTTATCAGCTTATTTTGGTTGCAGTTTCCAATTTTTAAAAATGTTGAGGTAATCTTTCCCACCTTCCCAATCCTAATTCTTGTAGATTCATTAGTGTTGAACCAATGCTTTCTCATGTCTCAATTCTTTGTATATGCATTCTTTTCAGATGTATTAAACAAACAAAAACCCTTCACAAGCCAGCCTGAGGGTTGTTATTTTCCCTCCGTCTCTTACTTTTCAGATACATAGGAGTGGGAACTTGACTCTTGATAACATCAATTTCTAACAAACTTTGAGATAAAATTTTAAAGCTTTATTATTTTTATTTTATTTTCTGGCATTTAGTTTGAGATAATATTTGGCCCTCTATATGTTCAGGTTTGTGCTTTCTCCCCTACATTTGACACTTCCCTTAAATACCAAGTAGGTCCATAATAATTCTTAGTGAAGCAGTGTTCTGGAAGCTCACTGCTCATGGTGGAAGGAAATGTTAGTGTACCTTTAATCCATAGATCATTGGAAAGCAGCTCCTTTCCCAAGGTTTCTGCATCAGTGGTTCTCAAACTTGGCTGCTTACTGGAGTGTGCTTGAACAATGTGATTTTTAAGTTTTCCAGGCTTTCTAAAATGTAGCCAAGTTTGGGAACCACCACTCGTAGGTGGTTATCTCAAGCTACTTCTATCAGAATACAGACTGTGTGCTGTGAATCTGAATATGGGATACATTTTCTTTAGGTAGCAAGAATGGTTTATTTACCTTTAGGACATTATACTGATCTGCTTGAGAATCTTAGAAACTAAGAACCCTTAAAATCAGTTAAGGTTGATACACTGTGGTGTCATTTTGATAGTTCTCTGCATGGAGTCATGTTTGGCATGATTTGCATACTGTGCTAGAATTAAGCTGGGTTGGTTGAGAAGGGGTTAGGAAGAGGCAGATGTAAGCTTCAACAGTTCTAACAGGAAATGCATCTTATGTATTCCTCGTTGACCATACTAGGGAGAGATACCTGGATCATGTGATACCCTGGAAAGCAGAGACATAGGTATCCTTAGTGTAGTCAGGGGCATATAGGTCCTTAACTATTGCTATATCTTTGTCCTAAAGCAATGCTTGACGTGATATGGCTCTAGAAATAGTCATTGGATGGGTGTATTATTTTATAAATGAGTAAGTGAAATAAAGCAGGTCATACAATGAATTATCCATGTATCAGAAGAACAAGGATGACAAGGGGATTGATTGAAGCTAATGTTTTCTTAAATATTTTCAAATTGATTTCTGCGTGTCAGAAGAACTTGGGTAGCAAATGGATGCAGCTTAGGTTTTCCATTTAAATATTGTTTTCTGTTTGACTTAAGAAACTTGTTTATAGTCGTGACTTAGAAGGTGAGTGATATTCTCCAGGGAGTATGATTTAGAGGCTGGAAAGGGTTATAGAAAAGTCCTTACAGGCTTAGTTTGTGTCTGAATTTACAGCATTTAATACAATCTTAATATCTTATTGCTATTTGTAAGTGTTTTACTGAACATCTTAGAAATCGGTCTTATAGTTTGTTAAAGTGATGTTCTTCAAGCTGGACTTCATGCCACAAGGGGACTGCATTCTAAGGGGGAAGAAAAGGATTGTGGTTTGAAAGAACAATTGTAGTATTTCCTTCATTCTGAGGTGTATTTTTCTCACATTTTCATATTGTAATCAGGATACCTCTTAACATTGGTGTACATTTAATGTAGTAGTACTTTTTCTCCTTTTATCCTGCAAGTTGTCACTAAATTTGTGCTATCATAATTGTTACCTTCATAGAATGCATAAAATAGTGGTATTTCTTAAAAAAAAAACATACAATAAATTATTGTTCACTATAGTCACCCTACAATGCTATAGAAAACTAAAACTAAAACTTATTTCTCCTATCTATATATAATTTTGTATTCATTGATCAACCTCTATCTCCCTACCCTTCTCAGCTTCTAGTAACCACTGTTCTACTCTCTACTTCTCTGAGATCAGCTTCTTTAGCTCCCACATGTAAGTGAGAATATATGAAACTTGTCTTTCTGTGCCTGGCTTATATCATTTAACATAATGTCCTCCAGGTTCATCCATGTTGCCACCAATGATAGGATTTTATTCTCTTCTATGGCTGCATACTATTGTCTATATATACCACATTTTCTTTATCTCTTCATCTGTTGATAGACACTTAGGTGGATTCCATATCTTCATTATTATAAATGAAACTGCAGTAAAGATGGGAGTGCAGGTATCTCTTCGACATATGATTTTATTTTCTTTGGATATAGGTCCAGTAGTGAGATTACTGGATCATATGGTAGTTCTATTTTTAGCCTGTTAAGGAACTTCCATACTGCTTTCCATAATAGCTGTACTAATTTACATTCCTTCCTGTGTGAGAATTTTCTTTGTCACTTATACACTGTTGGTGGGAATGTAAATTAGTTCAGCCACTGTGAAAATCACTTTGGAGATTTCTTAAAGAACTGTTAATAAAATCTGAACTACCATTCAACCCAGCAATCCCACTACTGGGTATACGCCCAAAGAAAAATAAATTGTTCTACCAAAAAAAGGACATGCACTTATATGTTCATTACAGCACTATTCACAATAGCAAAGACATGGAATCAACCTAGATGCCCATCAATGGCCGATTGGATAAAGAAAATGTGGTGGTGTGTATGTACCATGGAATACCATGCAGTCATAAAAAGAAGAATGAAGTCATGTCTTTTGCAGCAACAAGAATGCAGCCGGAAGCCATTATCCTAAGCAAGTTAACACAGAAACAGAAAACCAAATACTACAGTTTCTCACTTATAAGTGGGAGCTAAACATTGGGTACACATGGGCATAAAAATGGCAATGCTAGGCACTGGGGAGTATAAGAGGAGGGAGAGAAGGAGGAAGGAAGGGTTGCAAAACCACATATTGGGTACTATGCTCACTGCCTGGGAGATGGGTTCAGTCATACTCTGAAACCTCATCATCATGCAACGTACCCTTGTAACAGACCTGCACATGTACCCTCTGAGTCTAAAGTAAAAGCTGAATTTTTTTAAAGTTGTATTTTATCTGCATTCTTGCTAGCTATTTTTTCCTCTTTTTGATAATAGCCACTCTAGCTGGCGTGAGATAATCTCTCACTGATTTTGATTTACATTTCCCTAATCATTAGTCACACAGAGCACTGTTTCAAATACTTAGTGGCCATTTTATGTCTTCTTTTGAGAAACATCTGTTCAGATCAATGGCCAATTTTAAAAATCAGATTATTTGACGTTTTGCTGTTTAAGTTCCTTGTATATTCTAGATATTAATTCCTTGTCAGAGAAATCGTTTGCAAAGATTTTATCCCATTCTGTAGTTTGTCACATTACTGTGCTGACTGTTTCCTTTGCTGCACAGAAATGTTTAGTTTGACGTAATCCCATTAGTCTATTTTTGCCTTTGTTGACTGTGTTTTGGAGGTCTTATCCAGAAAATCTTTGCTCAGAACATTTCCCTTACGTTTTCTCTTAGTAGTTTCATTTGGGGCCTTACATTTAAGTCTTTGATTTCATTCGTTTTGAGTTACTTTTTGTATATTATGATAGATGGGGCTCCAGTTTCATTCTTCTGCATAGTTTCATTCTTCTGCATATGAATATCCAGTTTCCCCAGCAACATTTACTAAAAAGCGTGTCCTTTCTTCGGTTTATACTCTTAGTGCTGTTGTAGAAAATCAGTAGGCCATAAATATGTGAATTTATTTCTGGGTTCTCTATTCTGTTCCATTGGTTTACGTGTCTGCTTTAATGCCAACACAATGCTGTTTTACTATAGCATTATAGTATATTTTAAAGTAAAATAGTGTGATCCCTCCAGTTCTTTTTGCTCAGAATTGCATTGGCTTGGCCAGGAGCAGTGACTCATGCCTGTAATACCAGCACTTTGGGAGGCTGAGGCAGGTGGATCACTTGAGGTCAGGAGTTTGAGACCAGCCTGGCCAACATGGTGAAACCCTATCTCTACTAAAAATAGGGCATGGTAGTGCATGCCTGTAATTCTAGCTACTGAGGTGGCTGAAGCAGGAGAATTGCTTGAACCCGGGAGACAGAGATTGCAGTGAGATGAGATCATGCAACTGCACTCCAACCTGGGTGACAGAGGGAGACTGTCTCAAAAATAAAATGAAATAAAATAAAACAAACAATTGCTTTGGCTATTTGGGGTCTTTTATGGTTCCTAACAAATTTAAGAGGTTTTTTTTTTTTCCATTTCTGTGAAAAATACCATTGAAAATTCGATAGGGATTGCATTGAATCTGTAGATTGCTTTGGGTAGTATGGAATCTTAACAGTATTGATTTTTCCAAGCCATGAACATGGGATATCTATCCAATTTTTATGTCCTCTTTAATTTCTTTTATTAGTGTTCCGTAGTCTATCTATCCAATTTTTATGTCCTCTTCAATTTCTTTTATTAGTGTTCTGTAGTCTAGAGATCTTTCACCTCTTTGGTTAAATTTACTCCTAGGTGGGTTTTTTTTTGGGGGGGGGTAGCTATTATAAGTGGGGTTCCTTTTACAGATAGTTTATTATTGGTGTATAGAAATGCTACTGATTTTTGTATGTTGATTTGGTATCTCACAACTTTACTGAATTTGTATATCAATTCTAAGAGTTTTTGGGTGGAGTCTTTAGATTTTTCTATATATAAGAGAATGTCATCTGCAAACATGGTCAATTTGACTTATTCCTTCCAAATTTGGATGTCTTTATTTCTTTCTGTTGCCTAATTGCTCTGGCTAGAACTTCCAGTACTACGTGGAATAAGAGTAGTGAGGGTAAGCATTCTTGTCTTCTTCCAGTTTTAGAGAAAAAACTTCCAACATTTCCCTGTTCGGTACAATGTTAGTTGTGGATTTGTCACATATGGCCTTTATTAAGATAAAGTGCGTTTCTTCTTCTAAACCTAATTGTTTGAGAGTTTTTATCAGGGAGGGATGTTGAATTTTATCAACTGTTTTTCTGCATCTATTGTGGTGATCATGATTTTTATCCTTTATTCTGTTGATGGGATGTATTATGTTTATTGATTTGCATATGTTGAACCAATCTTGCATCCCTGGAATAAATCCCACCTGGTTTTAGTAAATAATCTTATGAATGTGCTGTTGGATTCAGTTTGCT